GCCATCTTTGTCTCGTTAAGTATGAAAGCGAATGGACTCCCGTACCCGTAGCCTCGAGACATTAAGATACGGCTACCGTACCCGTAGCCACTGCCTACAAAATTTCGAAGTGACGAGCGGCGATACTTCGAGCGCCATTTCTGTTGACCTGTGACGTACAGATTCCCAATGCGCATAACGTTCGGCTAACTTTGACTCCAAGATCAAATATATCATGGGATGCCTGCTGTTAGTCGTGACGTCATGACGAAGTTAGCCGAACGCTATATGCGCATTGGGAATTTGTACGTCACAGGTCAACAGAAATGACGCTCGAAGTATCGCCGCTCGTCACTTCGAAAATTTTGTAACAGGTTATAATAGTTTAATACAGAGTATTGTGATACATAGTAAGTTTAAGGAATTTTTTATTAATTTTTTTTAAATAATGAACTTTTTCGGCAGGAGGTTGGATGCAAATCTAAAACTTTCATTCTCATGGCCTGAGCCCGCTCTACGACTGTTTCACCTAGGAACCTGACACCATGCGATACGGAAAACCTTGGGGTAGTGTGTTATATCATGGACACAGCCTACCAAATAAACTATGCCATTTGTTGACCTTCTAAAAACTTAAATTTCCTGCAGAAGTAGCAACGTGATGGGTTGGAGTTCAGAGTTGGAGTAAATTAGCTTTTAAGTGAGGTAAAAACGACTTAACCAAGTATTTTTATGTGATGACAACACACCTATACATAAATTGCAGAGAGTTTTCTGCAGTCATGCTGCCAGATGTGATTTTAGGGGACGTGATCTGCGTTGTTGGCCACAAGAAACGATTGCAGGAATGTTTTACTTTTGTTCATAGGTGTAAAGTTAATTAATGATGTGCAAAAATAAATATTTACACATTTTTACCCAACTATATTACTCTACCATGAAAGCCCTTCCTTTTGTACAGGAAATGCAGTGGAGGTGCCATAGTTTTATAAGGTAGGCTGTGTGAAGGACACAACACACTGACACTATACCCAAACCTTGCAGATAAAAAAACAAACTCAAAATTTCGCAAATTATAAAATAATCATATATCACATGTGACTTGAATTTTTACATGTTGCAAGTGTATTCTCACGCACAGCAAACTACTATAATGGCATTTACTGGAGCCAGCATGTTATATCTTTTCTGCATAATAGTTACTAATACTAGTAGGAGTCCATGTATCAACAACTGGTGATGGAGTATGCTAGGTTACAAGTGCCAACAGGTACACTCTCAGGCTTTCATTTTTAAGGGGCGCGATCGCGCTCGCGCTCCACCGCGCACCATAAATTGCGCCATGGTGCGCGCATCATCGCGCCTCATAAAAGTGGTTGAAATCGCGCACCAAAAGTCTGTGTATTATGTTGAAATAGTGCTCCATTTTACCGGGATGAGAATCTTCCGCGGATCCGCGGAAATCCGCGGATTTCACAGTCCCAGGGTCGATTTTGTGAAACGTCTAAATCCGTTGAGAGAAAATTTTAGGGGGGTTAGAATGTACAAATTTTCATTTTATGTACAGTCCAACAGCCTACTAACAGTACCTTCATTTAATACCATTGTAATATAGTTTGCTTTACAATATAGACACGGCTTAGTTCACTGTTTGAGATTGTCAGACGTTAGCCAGTGTGTGCGTTTATTTGACGCTGCAAGTGTGTGTGGTTGTGTATGCCGCGCGTGCTAAGCAGGCCGTGTATATAGTTGCGATCCGATCGATCGATATGTACATCAAAAGCTGCCGTGTTCACGCGTGGCCTTGGTGCTAGTTTTCCCTGCCCATAGAGTCTGCGATAGTGGAATCGAGAGCCCTGACTGCGAGTATCTATTTCTAGCCCAACTCTTGTTTCTAGTAGCCAATGAGAATTGCAGCTTTCATACACCCTTCGTCGTATTCTTTAAAACAATTGGCAGACCATTTTAAAGGGTGTGTGATTTTTAGTGAGCTCTCATCATGCCTCTAAGGGTGTGATTTTTAATGGAGCTTGTCCCCATCATGCCTCTTAAGGGTGGATTAGGAGCTGTGAGAAAGTCCCAGCCCTCTGAGTGTTGCTAGGTGCGTCATTTAGTAGCTCCTCCTGTATTTTCAGAATCTAGAAAGCCTGCACTCTACCTTTACAATTATAATATTAGACTATGAAGTACTGCGTCCGATTTTGCGACATCTTTTATACAGCTTATATTATTTCACATAAAAGATGAATATCAAACAAGCATAACTAGCCATTGATTATGCAATGTTGTAACGAGATGCTAGAGTTAACTGCAACCTTGTT